GAAGACCCCCAAATCCAAGTTTCGTCCACTCGAGATAATCCCACGCATGGTTCTGCGTAGCCTCGTGACCAGTCTGACAATGTACATAGTCTCGAAATAAGCGAGGAATTCTACGGAATTCTTTCCTTAGGTTCTGCGCTGTTCAAATAATGGCCGATATGCAAGCCAAAAGGGGAAAGATTGGACAACCCTTCAGATTCGCGACCAAGCGACACGCGCCTGTGCCCGCTCAGGCTCCATGTTCAATCGCTTAAGCATTCAAGCTCAATCCTTCCCACTACGGAGTCTCGCCAAAATTTCCCCATTTTCTCTTGCCCGCACCCTCACGTTGCTAGCAGTCGCAGTGGCAGATGCAGGCGAAAAACCAGACACTATATTGGCGCGAGACTTCCAAGAGCTTGAGTGTGAGTCGTGCCGACGCCAGAGTACTGGCTTCGGGATTTGCCGTCAATTTCGAAGGCGATATACAAGGTGTTGCACGTTCGTTCTCGGTCACGGCACCCAGAAGAAGGCGCCTGCCGAAACCACCTCCGCTCTTCTCCTCCCATCAAGCCAGTCGTCATCAATCTTGCGCAATCCCCCCTCGCGCCCCCCACCGCCATCGTCCCAACATCGCCTCCAGCAACAGATTGACTCAGGATCAGCACATCGGTCCCAGTTTTTTCACGTAATGTATGAGCTTTGAGCGACATGAGGGTTTGCCAAGAGCTTCTTCGAAGGACAAAGATACTTCCTACTTCTTGGTCAATACGCTACTCTTTCAGAGCCCGGAGTGGCTCCCTGGGCAAGGTCACTTAACAGCAGCCCTCTGACTCGTCATGATCAGTTTAGGTTCAACGATATGGAAAAATCAAACAATTCCAGGTGTGCACATTTGGATTATTGGTACGATCAGGTACAACGGGGCAAAAAAGGATTGTGTGGGTGATCTGGCACTGAAAAGACAGGCTGGGTATAAGTTGACAACAACGGAGTAGCCCTTGGATATGAATTCAAACAAACGTAGCGACTAAGGGCGGATCAGTAGGTAGCAAGTGCGATGTAAATTGAATGTACCAACGTGACACAATAAGGGATGGTTCTGAAATCCGACCAGAGGAGCGGAGCATGAGAAGTTCGGTGGGAGAGGCGTAAAGACAGGTTGGCGCCGGTGGAGACTGATCAATGATGAATGATGTATAATGGATGCGAAGGTAGGAGGGGGTCAACACGATTGTGTGAGCGCTTCCACTTCAAATGAGCGTGGATACGGTGCATGGTGGACCCTTCAAGCACCCCACCCGCTTGAGCGGAGCATCGCCACCAGACGGGGCAGATACACCATCGTGACGAACAATAAAACAGGCAGAAAGCCATGGTCATTGATCGCTGTACAATATGGGTTCATCATATTCAGTAGCCGAGAGCGAGGCGTAGATGGGGTATGCGTACTAGTAGATAAATTGAAGTTATGTTTGCCTCCATTGGTGCCCCCACTGATTCCGCTGAACGCATCCCCTTGCCAGAAGACGAGCTGTGGAGGGAGGTTCTGTGCTCGCGTACCACGGCTTTGACTGGAATCTCCGTTCATAGAAGCGTAGAAGGAAAGGGAAGAGAAAGATGGTGGGATTTTTACGCAGCTGCCTCCTTGCTTATAAGCTTATATATCCCCATCAAACGAGACAGGACTTTTGAATAAGTGACATACCTTCTTGATCTGCTCAGCGTCTAAATGATGGTTCGTGTGCATCCGCTGCTGCTGGCAGCCCATCCACATGACGCCAATGTGACTGACGGCCTACCAAGTGGGGAAGGAAGGAGGATCGATTTGGCTCCCTTGCCTGATAGAAAAGTAAATAGTTCGAGAAACCACACACTTCCATGCGTGATACGAGATTTTTTCCTGCAATCCCAAAGTCTGATCCGCCTAGAACGCCTTTTATCGGTACATGTCTCAGAAGATCTTCGTGTCGCCTTACCAACTGACCAAAGAGTACAGCAGGCCATGCTGTTGGCGCGTTGCTGGTGTTCCCCCGAAGAACATTGTGTGTAATTGCGAGCGTAGCTCGCATACATTCTCTAAAAGGGGTACCATGCCCGGACAAATAAGGACAAAGAGAGACGCGCAGCGTCTGGCCTCTGCCGCCCCCGTTATTTTGCCATTTTCTTATTGTTTTCTCTCTTCCCGCTTCGCTTAGATGCATCTGTCGGACGCCCCATCGTTATGGCTTCCATTTCATGTAAAAATGAAGGGGTTTTGGTCTGTGTTCAGAGAAGGAGGCCTCTGTTTTGTGAGAAGGCTGCGTCGCGTTTTGAGAATCTCCAATTCCACAGTCCACTACACATCAGGCATGATACGCCCACCTAAGATAAACGAGGCGAGATTCCCGCCATTGTCTAAGTACGAAGCTCCAGTCCGACCCTTATTAATTTGGTACTTATAGGTGTTGTGTGGCCTCTCACATCCTGGTCTTGGGATGTTCTGAAAGACCGGCTGGGCCTTTACTTATTACTCGCCAACCTCGGGGAAACAGTCCAATATGACGACATTTCACGTCGGTGGGACTGCTGGGGCGTCCTTGCACGTAAGGCAGGAAGCTAATGGACAGGGTGGACGAAAGCCAGCGAGCCCGAAGCACGATGATCTGGCGCGTCGCCCGCAGCTTACTGCACCTTTCCATTGCTGCCGCTCCCACTGAAGGCCGTACTGAAGTTTACAACAATCCCGGGCCAGATTTAGTGATTCACTCACTCGCAGCGCTGTCGCATCGCGCCGCTGGCCATGTCAGCTGCCCGCCTGGGTTTTCTTTTGTAGCAGCCTAGCAGGCTAGCAGTACCAGCTAAGTCACCGTTTACCAGCAACGGGTTAACACATCAACTAATAAACTTGTCCTCTCTTCCTCCGGAGCAACGACAACAACCGCAACATCTTTGATTATAGATGTCCTTCAACTCCTGGCCTTCAACATTTTTCTCAAATCATTGGGTGAAGTCCAGGATAGAGGGGTGAATATGTACGCGCCCAGTCGCTCTCGGCCAGCACACATGCGTGGAGACTACATATTCACCCTTGCTTCCATGTATGTCAAGGCGCCTCCAGCCCAAGCTATAAACGGTGCTGGTGCTGGCACTCGGCACAATTATACCGTTCTGCACCCTGCTCATCCAATCTCAACTCCGGCTCCGTAGTCTTCACAACCTCTTCCATAATTTCCTCGTTCACAAAACTCCTCTCTAATTCGCACATTTATATATAAATACTCCCCTACTACATCCTGCAATAATAATAGTTAATAAATTTATTAGCACTTCGCAGCGAGCTACCGCCGGCGCGTCCCGCGGATCCATATTACTAGGAAGTAACCGACAAGCGATCAAAGGCGGGAGGGCGGCGAGGAAAGTGGCGGGGCGCGAGGAAGCGGGGCCAAGTGCCAGCTAGCGAAGTGGGATTCATTAATTTGTTGAATTGTTATCGCGCACCACATGTTTGGGCGCGTTCTCCAGAGAATTCTCCAGAGATTGTTCGGCATTCATTCCGAAGAAGCTTAAGGCGCAATATGGATTGATATCCGGAGGGAGAGCGAAAACATCCCATCCGCGCAGTCCAGCAAGGAGAGATTGTACAAAAAGTAAGGCCGGGCAGTGGGTTGCTGTGCAACGAATAACAGGGGGATCCCTGGGAGAATTGGTACGGGCTGCTCGGGAGCTCACCGAATGCGCTGCACCAGGTATGTCGCCATCTACCTGCCCCGCAGAGGAAAGGACCTATGTAGTGCCAGTATTGAAAAATGAGAGGGATTTATATCGCGATGACAATAAATAGAACAGATACATGAAGCGAAATGAAATTAAAAACCTTGAAGACGGAAACGAAAGACACGGGGTTTAGTGTTCGGCATCATCAAGCTTCAGAGGTACAGCGCGAATGATGCAAGCAGCGTGTTCAACCAGCTTGTTTTGCACAGTGGGTCCAAGATTTCTCTACCCATGAACAGCGCTGTGCCCTGAATTTGTCTATATCAGTAGAAGCTTCCATTACTTGAAGAAGCTAAATTCGTACGGTGATTTGGATGCCCCGCTTCGGGTACTCCACGTCGTATGCTGCGGACCCCCAGGGACCTTCGTAACGTGCACAATTTCATCAATCCTTGCGAACTCAAGTCCATCAAGAACCCTTCTTCGCCCGCACCGGGATGATCGTCGGCGAATATCATGATATTCCCGGCGCTGAGCGCTGATGTCTCGGTGGAGGATTCCATGAGCAACAAGCCGCTGATGACCTATCCCCCAAGAAATATACTAAGAACGCGCAGGCACGATGGCGAGATCTGATGCTTACCGACGATGGCCGCACGGAATGCTTTCAGCAGCTCGAGATAGCTCGCGAAGTGCCACAACGGCCGCCCAATGGTCTGCAGGATAAGACGATGGAGGACGGCTGTCCCAGTCCCAGGTGGAACGGTGGCCGCAGCATTCGTCGTAACTCTGTGGAGCCATGCACCGTACGGGTATTGACAACGCAGATTGTGCACCGATATCGGTATGTCAGTCTCACTGTCGAACCGGGCGTCGCCTCCTTGTAAAAAGCGAGCTACACCAGGAGGAGGGGCATTGAGGTTCCCATAGATGGATGCCTCTCCAGTGCGCTCACTATTGCGCCAAGCGCCCTTAAGAATCAAAAGCGGTGCACCGTCAACGATAGTATACTTGCCAGAGTTCCAAATCAGCGGGACTACGGGCCAGATGTTGGTTCCCCGGCCAATGAGGGAGAGAGACACCCAAATGGGAGGGCCAGCCGTCAACCATGCATTCTGTTCCCGTTTTGTGGAAGTGACGTCATTCGCCATCGTCGAATACTCCAGTGGGATACGACGTATGGTGGGAAATCTGGTAATAGCCCTCGTGAAATTACGAGCTCACGCACGGCAGCGTGAAGATCAGACGAGGGGGTTAGAGGCTGAGCGGTAGGACGGAACCGTAGATAGCAAAACGCAAAAACATATAATAGACTTTACTCGAAGTGATTCCACGCAGGATCGAACTGGGTCCTCCTGCCCAACGACGCCCATACTTCGAACTCAGCACACTGGACAAGCGCGATAACCACTTCGCCATGAAACCAGCAACGACAAGCCGTCAGGTACCTGCATATCAGACCCGCACATGTGATCATCGCAGCAATCCCAATCCTGCCCAGGATCTCTTATCTGTGTTCCCAAAACACAAACACGCTCACGCACGCCTCAGTCAGCATCTCTCGACCCTACACATGCCCAGGGCACGGCTGTCGCAGAAGAGATAATGGGCCGGGTGAGGATGTGCAAGGGCGCTGTAGCTCGCTGCGGGAGTATTGGCGGCGTGTCGATGGTGCCAAAAGCACAACATCCTCGTACAGATCTACAAGCAAGAGTCATGGAGAGGGCCAGGATTGGGCGCACACGGGATGGAGTGAGTTTTGTGGGGCTGGGTACATGATGCCGAAGAGACTGGCGGGGAGGCAGGGAGGCGGGGAGATGGGGAGACGGGGACGGGGAGATGGGGAGACGGGGAGATGGAGACAGGGAGACAGGGAGACGGGGAGAGAGGGAGACGGGGAGAGAGGGACACTGCGTCCGAGCTTGAGATGAGTTGAAGAGACGGCAAAGTCGACACACGGCCAGAAAACGCGAAAAGGTCCATAGTCTTGATCGCGGTGATCAGTTGTAGACCCGCGCATTAGCAGAGCTTCTTACCCTTTCCCGAGTTCCTACTCCTGGAACCCAATCCCTGTCCCATCCAGCTGCCACCCACCATGAGTGATCATAAAGGAGAAAATGAGGCGTCGCGGGGGCGAGATGTTGTGAGTTGATGTTGTCGTCGACGTTGGAGGAGAGGCACGGACATAATCTACGACTGATGGCAGACGAGCTTGGCCGTTGGCTTGAGCCTGCGTGACACACCATAGCGGCGTTGAGATCAAGTCCATGCGTTGGAGAGCTTGCGGGGCGCGGGGAAATAGAAAACGCGGAAGCCGCTGACGAGGTAACGCCATCTGGCGACGATAATAAGTATATGTATATATATATATATATATCACATGATGAAAAGAATACCGAGGACGCACCAGACCTGCGCGATCGCAACGAACTCCCATGTAAAACTATTGCCCTCCGCCTCGACCTCATACTCCAGTGCGCACATTATCCTAGCATCATCTAAAAACATCATAAATATCCGAGGCGCCGCTACGCTCGTATGCGCAAGGAACTCATGCTTGGACATGCTCATGATGGCACTCAGAGCTGTTCTTCGATATCCGATGCCCAGGAGTTGCGACCGCAGAGCGGGTCCCTAGGTATGATAACCACTGCCATGAACGTCAACGCCGATTTTGTGGCGGTCGAGTGGCCGGTACGCGAAGCAATACTAGGAATGGCTGGGATATAGGTGCCGATCAGCGCAGATAATTTGGTCGCTCCTCTGAATGCGCGTTGACGTTGAACTTTGGGAAAATGACGAGAGCACGCGAGAGATCTCACCTGGAAGTCCCTCCGCCTTTTCCCCTAATCTCAAACCCAAAAATCGCAAACTGCAACTCGGGGACCGTAACAACTGCAGTTAATAGGCTAGCCCTATTCTTCGCCCATGTTTTGGCCCAGACGGGTGTCCTACCCGGAGAATTGGGTATGCGGGGCAGGTGCGGTAGCCGCTACGCCATCGAACCGACGCCAACCAAGCATTCATCCCATTCATGGCAAAGGAGTGTCGAGTAGGGCGGAGAGGGGGCGCTGCGACTTGGTACATGGATAGTGCATGCACCAGCGGCTTGCCGTTTACTAATGTATGTAGGTGCGGGGTGCGTGCTGACCCCGCCGTGACATTCGTCCAGAATACGTATCTCCAATCAGCGTCGTCGAAATCAGGTTATCAATGCGGTTCTCCATCGAACGTGCTCGTCCATGAGGCTGGGAGGAGGCTATGGAGCAATGGGCTCAGATGCACAACTGGGTCGTCCGTTGATTGGGTATGTCGACGCGGTTAGGAGGACGAAGTAGAACGGCCCGCCGCGGACCACCTTCTACATCTGGCGCCACCCCTCCTCACCCCTGTCATCCCTATCTCCGGTGGATCGATCTCCGTGAGCAGACCACGGATCTACTTCCAACGTCGCGTCGACTGAATATTTTACGATTTGATCTCCGTGATTCACCACAAACTCCATCTAGTCGATGATCTACCTCCGATTCAGGTCGACCACCGGCGCAGACAGAAGACGGCAGACGGCAGACAGGCATGGTGTGGTGTTGTGATGCCTGGAACCAGCGCCTTGTAAGGGCATTGCGAACTTTGAAGGGCTGACGTTCGATGGAGGTTCGCGTACGTGGAGGAGCGGGTGTTTCGATGCAGTTTGGCGATAACGCTCGTCGGCTTCGTCCATCGTCATCTTATATCGACGCTAATGCATGCAGTGGGTGTCGTACGTCAAGCTAACCCGGTAATTGTGCGGGTTCGGGGGTCCGGGGCTCCCAAGGACAAGCGTTGACGTTGAAGGGCATACACTAAGAGAGATATCGTCCGGATCGGCGTGACCCTCTGCTGTCTGGCTGTAGCGATATCAGAACCAACAAGAGCGCGTCAGATTCAACGACAATGGAATGACGAGGTACTCACCGAGCTCACGCATTCGAAGGCCCCCACACCACCCACCCACCCATCGCATCGCATCGCATCTCAACCCGCATTCACGTGCTGCATCCCCAGCGCCCGGCTTGCATGCTACCAGCAACCCACATCTCCCCGAAATCTGGATTTTCAGGATGGATGAATTGGTTCGCGGCTGTGGAGCATTCCGAAGCGTGTTCGATACGAAATCAACGAGGGTAAGTACGTTGGGTACGCACCGTCACTCGCGGAAGGATGAGGTACCGAAATCGAGAATCCGACATCACCATCACGTCCAGCGTATGGGTCGTTCACGGTTTGAGGTCCAGGCGGTGAAGACGATTATCGATTACGCCTACGGCCAGTCCTCCCGCAAGTGGCGATCTTCCGAATATCAATGTTCATCGTCTCGCCCCGTTTAATTTGAAGTACAGTGCATCACTGTCAATCAACCCATCATCGCTGGCGCCTTGACCACGTTGATATTTGTACCTCCTGGGAATAATATAGCGGCGGGAGGAAAAGGTCGGCGGAGAGCGGCGGCGGGAGCGATTAGCAGATTATTGCTCCGGGTCAGAGAATTTGAAGATTTGAGCATGAGACAGAGCGAGAGAAAAAGAGGACCACGCGCGGAGTTCTCTTCGAACCGCGGGTACGACACGTGAGGTCTCTCCCTTTCTCCCTGACAGACCCTAACAGGCCCCTAAATATTAAATCCCTAAATCCTCTCATCACTAGCCATGAGGCCTCAGCGCGCCTCAGCGCTCAGCCACCAACGTATAGATGTCCTGGGCATTTGCGAGAATCTTCGCCCGTTTGCGTGCTCCGAGGAGTTACTATTCCCAGCCAACTCGAGCCTAAACTGGACAGTAGAGGCCTGGAGCGTAAAAGATCGAGTCAACGGCGGAAAATACAAGGGCCAGTTGCCGGGGGGATTCGCGATAGCAATAGAGACACGATGACGAGGGTGTGGGTAAACAGTGGGATGGGTTATCGTTTCACTAGCTCCTCACATGCGATGTCGATCCAGGTTCGGGGCGTAGTCTGAGCAGCGCACACTCTGCTTTCTGTGTACGTCACCGAGTTATGGTGTTCCTTGCCGCTGTAGTTGTAACGAGCCATACATCGCATTGGGGAGCTCCAGTGTGAGTGTCTAACATCTCTACAAATCGAGAGGACTTTGGGCTCCGTGAGCTGAGACGCATGCTGTTGCAAATTAACGCACCACATAATGCTACGGCTCACGCACCTCCCGGATCGTCTCGCTCTTTCAAGGCCTCAGGCCTCGGCTTTAAAATTTTGTTTCGCATCGTGATCCCTCTGCCCACTTGAATATTCTACGCTCCGAACAATCGCCAGTCGTGTCGCGTTGGGAGTTACCGTCTTCAGCTTTAACCAGGTACCGCCACCACAACGCCCTTCGGAAGCTTGAACGAACAGAAAGACGAAGGCGCACGTATAATGTTGGCCTGCCACTGGCGACTCTCAGACCCCCGACTCACAGTCGCAAATCCTGGAGGCCCAGTTGTGTACGATTCTTTGACCGTGACGCAAGCGAGGCGAATGGGGACCTCGCGCCATGGATGCCCAGGATCTGCGGGTTCGACTACGAGATTAAACGTCCAAACACTGTTTATTCTATGTCGAAGCCAGAGACTGTAGAGAGACGGTAACTTTACAGGTCATGCATAGTTATGGATGAACTTCACAGACCGCCAAATGCGTGTCTGCGACATGGCAATCCAAATTACTTTCACGAAGTATCGGCACGGGTATGCGCGGAATGCATGCCGCCTTGGTATCTAGGTTCATCCACTGTCTGAGTCGTCGGTTTACATACTTTGCTACCCGTTAGTGAGTGTTTGAATTGAAAGGTTCGCAGTTTTCTTCGAAAGAAGGTCGTTAGATAAAACAAACTACGAAGTACAGGAATTGATCAGAGGGACATCGAGATGGAATACGAAGAAATCAAACAGTCTCGGGAAATATGAAGGATGTGGTGAGGGATGGGTAGGCACAGCTTGCTTGGTGTTTTGGACCGCCAGAGGACGATTGTGGCTAATTTGTGATAATAAGCCCAAGATCTGGTGTCGGGAAATGATGCGTGCTCTTATTCGTGATCTTGCAAACAAACACCAACTCCAGTCAGTTGGTCTACGTTGTCTACAAATGGGCATGTTAGAATGTCGATTTGACAAAGATGTGCTGCGCTACTCACACAAACTCGCGCTCACGGGCACGGTCCCACCATCCGCATCACCATGCACTTGTCCACAAAGCATCCATAACCGCAGCCAAAGACGCTGCAGAGATCCTTCGCCCTGACCAACGTCGGACTCTACCATCGCAAAGTGGCACACCGAGCGCGATATGAGCGGGACTGTCATATGATCATAGCTTCAATCTATCGGTCGTATGCATCGTGTCAAGTTGAGCGCCTTGATCATTGATGGGAGCTGAACGACCAGTAGTATATATAACGCCAATAGGTCGTGAGTTGAAGTTGGAAGGATAAGATGGACTCTGACGGAGTTCAACACCCAATCCAACCGTGGGTGCAACTTTCCATATTTGTCCTCCTTCTAAACGACAACGTCCTTGAAGCACTTCGTCTGCAAAGGGCCACTGTCCTTCGAAATTCAATATCCAATTCTCTCCGATGATTCTATTTGAAACAAAATCTCGGAACCTTGCTTTCTCAACGCGCCGTCGCCCAAAATTGATCCTCCCTTCAGAAATCTGGATCCACATCTTGTCATTTCTCCCCGACTCAGACGTCGTGCCACTATACAGGGTGAATCGTCTATTTTACGATGTGTCGATGGATTCTCAGTACAGGCACCTATCGTTTTGCGAGAGAAAAGGATTTGTTCTTGGGAGGGCATGCATGAGGTTAGTCTTCTTCCTTCGATGAAATGTCAAGAGAATAAACCAGAATTTCAGCGACGATGGGCTGAAGAAGCGAATTAAGGCGATCACCATCTCCGATACACCCCTCTGCGTTAATGCGGAAGTCGGATTCATTCCTGGACCAGCACAATACTCACCTGCGGAGCCGACGGTGTGCGGCAGAATAAGGTCATTTTTTGGCAGTACCCATACTAGTATGAGCCAGAAGCCTCAATCGCGCAACCTCACGCCGCCAGAGCTGATATGTCAGCATATTCTGAAGGTGCTCGATGGAGCGGACAACCTCGAAGAGTTGAGGATCCTTCACAAGTATGGACCGCAAGAGATTTTTGGGCAGCTTACTCTCTACCCTATATGCCTTGCCCTTTCCAATCGACATTCCCTGCGAAGGCTTCACGTCGAAGGCCATAGACTGGACTCTGTGCTCCCCCTTATTCGGTTTTGCAGTTTAACATCCGTGTCCATTGCTATGAGATTCACGTCAGAGATATGGCACACGTTGGGGGCGCTTCCCTTGTTCCTGAAGAACGTGGCGTCGTCGGTTGAAGTTTTGCATGTCGGTGCTCTGAATGGACTCCATTCGGGTGCCATATCCCTCGCCATGACCAAAATATTTTGCGGTAAGTGACAATCAGTCTGATGGTTTCCTTCCTCATGCACCTCGTATACTCGTAGTTCTTGCAATGCCGAATCTTCGGGAGCTCGCTACTCCTCTCATGGTCTCTCCCGATTCCGCGCGAGTCTTTGATGCGTTCAACTCCAAATACGGATCCCTCACGAAACTAGACTTGCATCTGCACGCGGAAGACAATCCGCCAAATGTGCCGCTAAGCAGCCTCCGGCTCCCACAGCTGCAGGCCCTATCGCTGAATTTCGTTTCGGAAGCCGCTGTTCCAGGCCTTTGGCGCGGGCGGTACGAGTTTCCCGAGCTGCAAGAATTGCGTATTGATGGGCGTCACCTGGGATTGGAAGAGGTGGCTTCGATGTGTCGGTTCTTTGCACAGACAACGATTGCCGTGCTCTCGCTCAGAGTGTCGGTCCTCGACGGAGCTCTCTTAAGCCTGCTCGCCGCTTCTCTTCCAGCGCTCCGTGATCTAAGTTTGTTCGCCGCCGACCTTTCAAAGCAGCACCCAGACCTGACTGCACGAGCTATGGCACATGTCGTTGTACGTACTAAGAAACTCGCCGTTTTCATTTCATTCATGCTGAGGTCATTAGGACCACTTCAAAGCAGACATAGAGGAACGAAATTTCCAAGGATGGGCGCTCAAAAAGGTCTTTGTGTCCCTCAATGGCAGAGTCCCATGGTCGAGGGACTCAAGACTCAGCCCCCCTCACCAGATTGTTGCAATTTTGGCGCGCTGTATCCCGAGTATACAAACAACAAACTGTGGTTATCATAACTTCGAAGCGCCCCTATACTTTTCTAATGGGCAACCCACTTTCTAATACACATGTCGCTCTGTTGCAGTCTGAATGACTTTTAATTCCGCGCCTCGCAAGGCCTCCATGAGCTCCACCACCACAGCAGGTTCCGAAGACGCGATAATGTTGATCGATGATCTGTATGATACCCTATAGACTCGCGGGCGGAATAAACGTAAAGTCCTTGGAGCCAAGCAGTCAGGCGGCTGGGACGGCACGCAAAGTTCAACCTGGTCCGTCTACGAATCCTAGTAACGGCGACATCGACCGTGCGGCTAGCCTTATCGTTACAATGGAGGTCCGTTGAAAACGACACACGCGCCCAAGGTCGTTGATTTACGGACGATTCATCAGAAACTATCGCGTGCTGGACGGATAGGTTTGTTTGAAGTCTACCGCGGTGTTGAGATGTAAGAGCACAGAAACGGCGAGGATCAGGTACGCAGGTACTCGCCTTGCAAGGATTCCAAACGATTCGAACTTGACATCCCAAACTCTCCGTGCCACCAGCGATTGCGATTATTGTCCATCGTAAGCTTCGTTCCTACCTCTGTTGTACCGCTGCCTGTTCCGTCCGCTTTGCTCCTCGCCGACTGCGAGCCTGACCCAATTCGAGCTCCTAGCCCATCCCGTGGTGAAGTGGTTTGGACTCGAAGGAAGTCGTCTGCGTTGGAAAGCGAAGGCAAAGGAAGTAAAAAGCGAACCTTCGCTCGTCATATAAAATGATTCGACCCAGGTTCGAACTGAGGACCTTCTGTGTAAATCTTCCACGCCGCGGGCATGTTAGACAGATGCGATAACCAACTACGCCATCGAACCATAGGAGGAGGTTGGGTCGTGGAAAAGTCTATCGGAGAATCAATGACAAGTTGCGCTAATTAGCCGCCTATCGAAGCGCTATAACTTGAATCGTCGAGTATGTTAGGGTGTTGTGTGGACATCTACCTAATATATAGCACAGAAGCTCGACGCTCCAACGACGGAGTGGCGCTTGACTCATTTCAGCTCGGACACCCAAAGCCCCGGAGTCAAACCGGGATTGATTGCCTGGTGAGCCAAGTTGTTTTCTTCATTCTCGATTCGATGAACTAACTAATTATCTAGGGAAATCTCGGAACTCTGCTGCGATAAAACGAGCAGGTTCCCAACATAACGCAGCAGGACGGAAGACCGTCGACCAGCCTCCAGGCAAGTTCAAGGGAGCGCGCGCGCCCAATCCTGTACATCTCATCATCTTACCTCTTGTATCTTCTTCGCGGCGTGTGTAGCCGCTTTGGTCATTGATGAGAGAGCAGAATTCGAGACACCTCATGGTTCACGCCTGCGTTTCAAGGCAGGGAAGATATACTGGCCTCGGCTTCGGAGAAAGGATATCGTTTCGGGTCGAAGTTTTGGTGAACGGGAGGTGGATGGGTGAACCGTTCCGCCCAGATGTCCGTGTCTCTTGTCTCTAGTCAGCTCACAGGCTCTCTTCGTGTCCAACCGACGCATTCTTCAACTGGCGAGCCGTTGTCTCAAGATCCTGAATTCGCAATGAAAATTCGCAATGAAATATCGAACTGTCGTCTGGGGCAACCATTCGAATACGCAAGTACTCAAGCCAATGGCTGCGAGCAGGTTGCAACCCCCGACACCTGTCCGTACATGAATTCAGTCACGATGGGTGCGTCTATCAGTTGCCTTTGTGGCACCATTGCGCTGACACAGCTTGCGGTGCTATGTGCCCAATATCATTGTCGACCATAAAAACTAACGTCGAAGCACCAAGCGGCGAACGACCCCCCTTGTGACATCCTGCAGAACAGATCCAACGTGGTCCAGACTCAAGACTGACGTCGAAATTCATCGCTTAGGCCGACATTGGGAAGAATGACCCCGTTTTGAGGGTGCGTTGGCCACAGGTCCTGTCGACCATTGTGGCATTTGGCCAACATTTGGCCATATTTCCTTTCATAGTCTGTAACTCGGACAATAGCATGCACTCCTGCTACATTGGCCATATTGGCCACATTCCCAGGAGCCTGCTTAAATACCTCGCCTCCCCCCATTTTCCCCTTCTCCCACCAGCACTAACAACAACTTATACAGCAGGCAATCCGTGCTGCATCTCCGCCATGTGTCTCACTCCCCAGTCTCGTGTTCCAGCGAAGGGACTCACTCTCAGGCCCTCAAACGTCTACACCTTTTTCCCGACACACGCCTCCCATGTGTTCCTTTTTCTCGTACCGGGCGACCGCAAGTGCCCCTTCTATGATTACCTACACAAATTGACAGTCGACAGCAGCCGCGAAGGTCGGTATGTGCGGCATCTAACTATCGATGTCATGGACCCTCTTCCGCTCCTCGCCAAAGACTATATCAGAGACATCGAGGCCCTCCTGCGCATGCTCCCGGGGCTGCAATCGTTCAGCATCGCCGACCCGAACATGACCAATGCCTACCAGCGCCTTCTGGACCCGTTCTTCTCTCCCTTGCCCCCAAGGCTCAGGAAACTCCGGCTAACCCTCTGCGCGTACGACACGCAGAGATTATCTGCATTCTTATGCATAAGGGGCATCTCCATCGAGCATCTCGAAGTGCATCCCAGCTCCCAGGTCCGCTTCCTCCCCCTCACGGGTGGCGCATTGCCCGCGCTTCGCATCCTCAGTGCCCGCACGGTCGACTCCATCCTCCACAACCTCGGCGAGGCGCGCAGCCTCACGCACATCCAGTTGAGCCCCGATGGAGGGGTAGGCTTGCACGCCATCTACGATTTCCAGGCTCATGCCGCGAGCCTCGCCAACGTCACCACCCTCTCGTGCTCCGCCTCGGCATTGGGAATATTCCACGCCGCTGGCATGCTGCCCGGCCTCGAGCGCCTCGACGCCCACATCGTCGGCGATATCGACGATCTGTGGTACGAGCCTCTGGTGATACATACTTCGCCGGGGCATGTGGGGGAGTTCGACGCGTGGACGGATGGCGCGAGGATGAGGGGATTGAAGATGCTGAGGCTCACGTCGAGGGGGAAGACGCATTCCCATGCGTTCGTGCAATGGGCATTCAAGAGGTTCCCCGGGCTGCGCTCGCTGGAGCTCCCCTACCTCTCCAAGGAGGCAAGCAGCGCTGTCGCCGCGTCGACCTCCGACAGAGCATTAGCTTCGAGTCTCGCGGAGCCGGGGATTTTGTTTGGGGCACCCCCGAGCCCATCCGCGCATCTGGACATCTCTTACAAGCTGGTGGTTAGAGAGCGCGAATTATTCTATCGGTTCGCGAATGCGAAGGACATGCCAAGTCTCATCCGTTGGAAGTGCAGGCCCGGTGAGGAGTGGTTCCATGATTGGGCAAGGGATGTCGAGGTTGTTGTCCAGAGTGTGTCCAGCGAGGAGTATTCTCTCGCTCCGGCCTCGATGACGCTCTTGCTGAACGCAATGAATTTCTAGTCCTTACCATTTGTAGTATTCAATGTATCTTAGTTTCTCTTTTACGAGATGTACCCGGTTGTGGCTGTTATTAGCGAATAATATCCTATGCAAGTGTATTAATCAACTCCCAACAACTATCCTGGGCGCAGTGAATACACACACACTGTAGGTGCTAACATCAAAGATCCTCCCTGAAGGACGAACGAACTTTCGCGGCCGTTGCATAGAGGTAGCCGAACGACGATACCTATAGAGTACCCTACATATCGATGCATCAGGACTGGAAATCAACGGTAGAAATTCACCGTTTGCACAAATTGAGGGTATGGACCAAGATCTTGGTGAATTTTACAATAGTTACAAGGAAAGTAAGTGTAATGTTAGCTAATAGTTGTATACACTCGTGATGAGCAAGAAGTGAAAGGGAGACAAGCGGTGTGGCTTTGACAATTACGCGTTGCCGCCTCGCTTCTCGACGTCGGCGAACTCCCCTGCAACGGGCGTACGCTGGCCCTCGAGGGTTTCGAGCGGGGCATCGGGCTTTGGGTCTGTGCCGTATATTCTGTCGTGCTCGACTGCTTTGAACATGATCATCGTGCTACAGAAGTAGTCAATATACTCAAGTCCTTGCGTGGATGAAAGGATACATACCTAGCGACAGTAGCAACCCACCCCACCCAGATCAACACCACCCACGCAATATTGACGGCCCAGTGCTTATACACGAATGGCGGGCGATAGAAGAACGCCTCATACCTCCGCACCTCTTCCTCCGTGACCGCGCTCCCATTGACAAACTGTGCCTGCCCCGCCACAACGACGGTGCTGAACAGAGCCGCCGCCAGCACGCCCGCGGAAATGAACACCGCGAGCGCCTTCTTCGTGCGGGTGTACCACCGCGGGTAGACTCTGCGGGGGAACTGGAGGAGGAAGAAGAAGTCGGCGCCAAAGAGCGTGGCGACGAAGACGGCGAAGACGATGGTGAGGACGGCTGCGGCGATGATGGGGTTGTTGTGCACCGCGATGGCGCCGCGGGACGCGCCTGGGTGCTCGCGCGCGTAGAGGGACTCGATGTGGGTCTGCTGGGACTCGTACTTGGAGAGCGAGTACGTCGCGGTGCATTCTGCGGCGAGGCAGATGGACATGGCGAGTTGGTAGAGGACTAGGGGGATTTTGAATCAGGATATGTCGGGACTAGTAGGATCGGAACATGGACGTACTGACGCGCTCCTTGCGCAGTGGCCAGCGCTTGTCGAGCATGTTTTTCGATGAGAAGGCGCTGAAGGACATCTCAGAGAGATCGAAGCCCCAGATATTGACCATGGTGGCCTGTTATCCGTGCCATGAGATCGGAATCAAGGAAAGGTAGCGTGCGACATACGCGAGCGGGGTACTTCAGCAAGATTCAAGAAGATGTGGTGGCTATCAAGCGAGCTACGGTTGGGCTAGAATCAGCTTCGTTCTATCAATGCATTTGCGGGGCAACATACCTTGAGGTATCGTGTGGGGTAAGGCGTGAATGCGATGTTGGGGGACATTGTGTCTGACAATGCGCTTGCTTTATACTGGACTTCCCGAGGTCGATGGTGGCGCATGCTCGAATGGCCTGGAGTACTGAGCGAGCGTCGGCGTTTGTGTCTAAGATCTAGACGCTTGATGACCAACTTGTTGTGACTAATTGCCGGTGCCTTGTGCATGTATCCCACGGTCAGTAAATAACTCTCACAATCAGTAAAACGACATCAACACTCGGGATATTGACACAGTCGAGCCTCTGTTGCTTTTTGAGGATGCTAGGAGGGGAAAAGAGCGTCAAGCTCCGTGCCTCGACGCGCTTGCTCCCTAATGCTACCATCACACTTCTCGTCCCCTCCCCGCCTAGTCGTCTTCCACTTCCCGACGCAATCCCGACGCCATTGGCATCCACCAGCCGTTGGCTAGCCAGAGGCGTGCTCAAGTAACAGGACTCACCAACAACGAAGGACTCACCAACAAAGAAGCACTGAGGTATCCTACCTCCACACATCGGCAAGGATAGCTGTGAGTATACTCGGTCAGCACCATCGAGCGCAAACCGCAAGGACTCACCAGGGCACTGTGGTAATACGCAGCACCCAATAGCTGCTCCGTAATGAAACTTCTGTGCGCACCATACTTAAAAAAACGGGCAGTAGCTTGAAAACGACGGTGGGCAATGGCACAGACTCAAGACGGGATGTCTTTCGCTAAGCCCATTTACCGTCTCATCATCTCTCCACTCTATTCCTGCTCTCGCGATCGTACGAGTTCTGTTCAAGGATTCGCGTGAGAGGGGAAGTGAAAAAACCGCGTCGTAACTTCGTGACGCGTCCGGGAGTCTCCCTTCGCAGTGAACCCTGCCCCTAATTCCCCTATCACGTTTCCCGTGACACGCGA